GAGCCTGTTGACCTAAAGAATCCCCAGAATCCACATGCTTGAAAAGAACACTTACAAATGCCCTCCAATTTCTACACATAAACTGTGACATGTTCTCTCTCTCTCTCTCTCTCTCTCTCTCTCTCTCTCTCTCTCTTTCTCTCTTACACACACCACAAACACACACACACACACTAAATAAATGGGAAAACAATGAAGTTGGTAGCTGGGTCCAACTCCCAACACCAAACCATACTATAGGGTTGTTGGAAATGTTTGAAAATGATGTTTCTCTTCTAGGGTCTCTATGGCAGTGTGATTGTAGCAGGAGGAAACACGCTAATACAGAGTTTCACTGACAGGTTAAATAGAGAACTTTCTCAGAAAACTCCACCAGTAAGTTTTCTTTGTTCTTTGTGTTATTTAGTTTTATGGAATTTAATAGTTAATTGTGTGCCTTTACAGTGTGAATAATGTCTGTTATTAATCAAGATGTCCTACTTGGTTCCTCTTCTATTACTTGAATCTCTTTGATGTTTGTGTGTGCTGTGTGTACATGTGTGGGTGCATTCTCTCTGCATTTCTGTCTTTCTCCACCTTATTGACACACGTACACATTGGCATATAAGTGTGCACACATACAGGGCACATGGTAATTTTCAAAGGAGAGAACCTGGAGAGGTCATTTACATGTATCAATATAATACCAGGTGTAATAGGCTTTAAAAGGTATTGTATGTGTGTAGAAATGGTCTGGTTTTGGCTGCTCCTGTTTTACATGTGCTGTATGTTTATAGTTAGAAGTGCTATTTGGGTATCTATACATTTTCATTGTTGACATCTGCCTTCACCAACTGCATTGTTGGATGCTCTAGACCAGTGGTTCTCAACCTTCCTACTACTGCGATCCTTTGATACAGTTCATGTTGTGGCGACTCCTGACCACAACATTATTTTTTGTTGCTATTTCATAACTATAATTTTGCTACTGTTAAGAATCGTAATGTAAATATCTGATATGAGACTCCTGTAAAAGGGTCATTTGACCCTAAAGAGGAACCTGCAGTAGTTGTTCTGACCATTGGATTTCATAGGAAGTCTACCAATACAACTATAGACGTGAATGGTCTGAGGTCCATTAAAGAGTAATTTAGGGGCTGCAGTATGTCTGTGCTTCACCTGTGTAAACTGAGTCCCCAGAACCTATATAGGCCCATCATACCTCCTGTAACTCTAGGGATCCAGTGCCCTCTCTTGTCTCTTCAGGCACTAGCATTCCTATGCATATATTTTCACAGAGGCATACACAAACATAATTAAGATAATGAGTCTTTTGTTGTTGTTGTTGCTTTAAAGAGTAATTTAGAAACTCTTGTCCTTTAGGGAGTAATTAAAATCAGTGAAAATATCAGGAGAAAAGTTCATACTGGAACAGATACCTGTACCAGCGCCTCCCCTGGTCCTATGCTCTACCCCACCACATAATGTTTATTTCATTATGAAATACTCCATATGTGTTGTGTAGCATGTCTCTGGTATGGATGCCTTGGAAATTATCCCCAGAGGTAGATTCCTAGGGAGGAGGAAAACATCCCTTAATACAATAAGTGAGATTAAATATAGTATTGAAGCAGCCTAGTGCAGCTACTGGGGGCTGAGGCAGAAAGATCATAAGTTCAAGGTCAGCCTGGGCTGTTCCATGTCCAAAACAGAAGTACTAAGTCTTTAGTTTTTTGAGATGAGGCATATATTGTAGTACCATTGTAGAACAGACTAGCTTAACTCAGCATTCTGCACCCCCCCTACCCCCCCGCCTGAATGCTGGGGTTGCAGATAGGAGCCGCCCTGCTGGCTTCCTGATTTGGAAGACAAGCAGGATGAATTAAAAGTTACATGATCTGGCATTTTGTTGGGTAGAGTTGAGATATAGGGTGCTCTGGTGGGAGGCTCAAGGTGCAAATGAATAAAACACCTACCTAGTGTGAAGTATGTGTATGAATTGCAAGTGCTGTCCTTTTACTATGCAGTTTCAAAAGCTTTTGTTTATATTGGTTTGTCAACTTGTTATGTTTAACAATTGAGTTATATACACATATAATTTCCATATTTACATCTCTAAATGAGATCACAAAGTAACAGTGTCAGTGTTTAAAGGAGCTTCATAAAACATTATTAGTGGAACTGTTCAAGGGACAAAGACTTCCAGCTGCATGTAGTCTCTTTGTTGCTGCAGAAATGAAATTTGAAGGGGAGTATTATGCTGAGGGTATTCAGATAATTTATGGGCATTGAAAGTTAGAGCTCAGTTTCAGTTTTTATAGGCCAGTGTGTCTTCCTACTTGGCAAGGTGCTAGCTGCCTGTATTTGTCCAGTTCTGAGTTGTACAATTTATTTTCTGTATTGGGACCTTGCTTGTGAAGTAGTCTAACCTATGTCATCTATTGGCTTAGCTACCTGACAACATGTAAAATTACTTGATGTCAAGCAAGTATTTTTCCCTTTTTGTGTGTAGGTGCTTGTGTATTGGGTGGGGGCGAGGGGAAAGCAAAGGAAGGAGGGAGGGAGGGGTGTATGATATGGATGTTATCTAATCCTGGCTGTAGACCAGAATGGCTAGAAACTCAGAGATCTGCCTGTCCCTGTGTCCCAAGTGCAGGGATTAATTGTGTGTGCCAGCATGGCCCTGGAGTTTTCTCAGCACTGAATCTCCAGGTTGGCTGTTGTGGCTGTCCCGATATCCTAATGCTTCCTGTCTTACAGAGCATGCGGTTGAAACTGATTGCAAACAACACGACGGTGGAGCGGAGGTTCAGTTCATGGATCGGAGGCTCCATTCTAGCATCTTTGGTTAGTAGATGAGCTGCTTTATAGGAATGAAGATAGGAGGGGGAACTGTGAGAGTGGGATTGATGTGCAGCAGTTTATGAAGAGAATTTTATTATCTGACAGTGTTCCATCTTTTTCTCTGAAAAATTATTTATTACATCTCTCCTGTTATTGTTGGGACTCAAAATGCTTTTTAATATTTATTCTATACTGATAAACATCTTTTTTGGAACTATTAGTAACTATTCCTGACTCAGTTTTTTTCCTAGAACAGCACTGGTTTTCCTGGTAGTGATTTTTTTTATTAAATATTGAGTTATAAATTTTCAATACAAGCAGAAATTTCCATCAAAACAATGACTCTTTGACTTAAATATACCATTGAAAATACTAAGTTTAATAAAAAAAAAATACTAAGAATTATTTTGGTGCTTTATTGATCTTTGCACTTAAAAGCTGACAGATGAGTGGAAGACCTGGTAGGTATCTACTTAAACATTTACATGTAATGATGACACCCCACCCTCCAACAACCTCAGGCTGGCCTCCACCTTGCCATTTTCTTCCTCAGCCTCCAGAACGCTGAGACTACAGGTCTGCTCCAGTGCACTTGTCTCCATGTTGGGGTACATTTATTAGGGGACATTTGTCAGCCTATAGTGAGTCTCCCTTTTCAGGGAGAGCCCCTGTTTATAATACCTCTTTTGGCACTGGGCAGGCCTAGGTGTAATGAACTTAGTTATAAGTTATTCCTTCTTGAAGTTTGGTTATTTCCCAACTCCTGATAAGGCTATCAGGAGTTGGCTCTGTGGGCCAAGTGAGATTACTGTGCTGGGTCTTGATGGGATAATCAGATTGTGTCTCAGGAGGCCAGATGTAGAGCATTCCCTCTTTTCTCCTACGATCTGAAATACTGGCATGGGCCTAGTGACAGGTTCCATTACTGTCTTAGGACCATTTGTCTTATCTTTACCAGCCCCTTTGTAATTCCTATTCGCTGTAACAGGTATAGAGAGGCTTAATGTTCTCTTAGACCCAAAAGGTTAGGGTAGACTAAACAGTGTCTCTGAGTTTGAGGAAGGCAAAAGGCATAGGGGTACAGTACTATTTTGGAGGAGGGATTTTAATAGTGTAGCAGTTGTTAAAGACATTTATGAGTAAAAACACTACCTTCTAATAAAAAGTGAGGCATAATTATGTAATATTTCTTTCCATCTTACAGGGTACTTTTCAACAGATGTGGATTTCCAAACAGGAATATGAAGAAGGAGGGAAGCAGTGTGTAGAAAGAAAATGTCCTTGAAGGGTCCCACCCTACCTGCCCATCACCTCACGTCTGTAGCTTTAGTACACTCAGGAAAAGATGACATCTTTTGTAGAATGTTTATAAATGTTTGCATATTTCAATGTCCACTTAAAGTTTTTAAGGCTTTAACTGGCTCTATAAATTGAGTTTGTGCTTTCCTTGAAATGCACTTATTCTTATTACAGGCATTTTATAATTTTGTATGAATGTCTATTTTCTCTAAATATTTTCTTTCAGAAAGTACTTTCCAGCCCTCCTGTGGGTTGGTGGAGTTACTTTTTATTGACTAGTCAAAGTTACTGCCTATGCTTTTTACCTTAGGCTTACAAAACTAAATAAAAATCACTACCAGTCCTAGAAGGGTTTTGGATTCTTGTCTGTGTTGTGACTTGATATTGTCATTACTTCTTTTACCATTATTTTGATGGTAGGAAGTGATCACTGTTTTGCTAACAGTATCCGTGTCCCTTTCATGCTTAAAAAATTATGTGTGGGTATTTCATCTGCACCACACTTGTGCTTGGTGCTTGTGGAAGCCAGAAGAGGGTGTTGACTGCCCTACAAGTGGAGTTTCAGATGGTTCTAAGTCTCCATGTTTGTGCTGGGAATCAAATCTGGGTGCTCTGGAAGAGCAATTAGTACTCTTAAGCTCCCTACCCCTTCACACTTTTATAGTAGTGGTGAAAACAGCATTCCCAAATGGACTTGATTCTAGCATCACTTGGCAGACAGCTTCAGATTTATACCAAGACATCAGGTGCTATTAAACCTGCTCAGCGGTCAGGACCTGTTCAGTGGGAACTGAACTTGAACTCTATGCCTGGTTTTGGTAGAAGCGGCACCATTTCTAGGGTTAATTAACATGCCATATTATCCAGAAAAACTGATGTCATTTGAACAAGAGCATTATTTTATAAACTGCTTAACAGACATTCACATCAGGACCCAGAGTGCTTTAAGAACAGAACTGGACTTATGGATCTCATCTTAGACAGTACTTGATTTCCGCTCTTTAGATAGGTGTGGGAACTTTGCCTGGAGAATTTTTTCTTTCTTTTTCTGTAAACTTTTCTTTCTTGCTTCAATCCGAGCTTGTTTCTCAAGTCTTAGTCTAGAATAAAAATGTAATTGCAATTAGACAAAAATCATTCCATTTTGCAAAGCATGTCCAAGCCAAGTATATAAGTCACAGTCATGTCAGCAGTACTTGGTGATCACTACAAACAAGATGGTGGAAGTCGAACCACCTCAATACTGTGCCTGCAGAAACTGAAGAGAAGTGACGGAGCAGAGTTCTTCAACCACTTGGCTTATTAGCTAGATGTAGCTTATTAGCTAGATCAACATCAGGGGGCGGGAATGAACAAGGTGTGTTAGGGAAAGTTGTCACTGATGAAGGGCGCACCTAACTAGAGTGGGTGGTATTGAGTATGGCTGTATTTTGGAGATACAAAGCTAGTTTCTTAAGTATCAGCTGGTATCTTGGGCAACTAACTGCAATCCTGTAACAGAAGCACCATGTTTTCCGTCTCATAAACTCAATGCAGAATACCTTGGGAAATGCTTGAGGTAACAAACAGCTTGTAGCACCACACCATCTCAGACCCCCTCCATTTCCATGAGCCCTGGAACAGGAGCTCACACTCCACATGGTACAGTAGGATTTCCCTCTTATTTCCAGACATATACAAGTCATATGAACTATTGGTACAGTGACTTTATGGAGGGTAAGATTTCAGATATATGGCTTCAATTTTTTTTTTTTTTTTTTAAAAAAATCTGGTGCTATTTAAGGTAATGAAAGAATTACTTATGTAATGGAAATCAAGGTATAAAGGCAGCTGAGGGCATAAGCCATATGGTGTACGGAGGCAGCTTCATCAAGAAGGTATTGTGCTTACCTGATAAAGTGATCCACATAAGGCATCGTGAAGAACCGTTTCCTGTTGTATCTTTTATTTAGGTACCAAGGTAGAGGCCACTGCTTGAATTTGTGCCTGCCAAAAAAAAAAGTAAAGTTATTGCTTTAGACAAAATATTTCATACAGTTTCTTAAAATTTTCATTGTTCTCTAAGTAACCTAAAATAACAATTATTATTAGCAAATGGGGCCGGTGGGACAGCTAAGCAAGAAGGTCCTTGCCATCTGAGTTCAATTGCTAGGATGTGTGTGAACACAGGGAAGGAACTGACTCCTGGTAAGTTCACTCTGACCTCCACACATGTGCCACAGCACATACAAGCATACATACAAACAGGTAGTGTTAAAAAAAAATTTTTTTTAAAGTTATTAGAAAATGCAATTAAAATTGAATGCTGGAGGTTTTTCAAATAAGTGCTATATCCCTAAATCCTTGGAAGAGCTTTGTTGTTAATTTTTTTTTTTTTTCTTTTTTAAGACAGGGTTTCTATGTAGCCTTGGCTGTCCTGGAACTCACTCTGTAGAGTAAGCTGGCCTTGAACTTTTAGGTCCGCCTGCCTCTGCCTCCCAAGCGCTGGCATTAAAGGTGTGGGCCACCACAGCCCAGTTCCTCAGAAGAGCTTTAAGTGAGAAGTTTTGGCAATTTCTCTTTCTGCAGTGATTAGATGGTTCTGGACTGGATGGCTGAAATCCCACATCAAATGAGAAGGTGCTGTCTGTTAGGGTTAGGTCTGGAGAATGTTCTAGACACCTTAAGCCTCTCCACTTGCCAACTCACATTTAAGGTACATGTTAGCTTATCCTGGCTCCTCTGGGGTGAGTTAGCTTATCCTGGCTCCTCTGGGTCCTTTATTCCTCAGAGTCCATGCTGACACCCAGATCCTTCCCTGGAAGGAGGTAAGCTGTACATTACTTGGCTCAGAGCTTATCCTGATGGTCAGTGAAACAAATTGACCTTGTTACTCAGAACTTTCAAGTCTCAGGTTCTTACGGGGCAAGGTGGGCAAAGGAGTATCTGAAATTAGCTCTTTGCGTTTTAGAATCCAAAATTACATGTTAATAGGCAGATTTTTGTGTCAGAGTATCTTAACTTTCATGAAATCCTTGAAAGGACTCAGGATTCACACAAGACAAGAATCCATGGGGATGAGTTGTGTGGTTTGGAATTTATTTTACCAGACAAAGCAACCTTGGTGCACATTTTCTATTCCTAGGGTATGGGGACCTCTCTTTACATGAGATCTCTATGTATCCACAGGGGAAGTATTTGAAAGGCACTGAGAGGGGTACCAAGGCAAGTGATCTCCACTCTTAGAAGTCACAGTGTAATCACATACCAGATAATTCGTCCGAAGATGTCCCTTCTCCAAGCACCAGGTCTTGCCTTTTCTTGCCCGGTCTGAAGAAGCCTTAGAGCATCTTCCCTCTCCTGGACAACTTTATCTAAGGCATCCATGGAATCAACAACCTGAGGTGACAAAAAGACAGCTAACTTCAGCTGTCACCTACAATTGCAATCCACAGGAACTCAATATTTATAAAGCAGGGGAGCTATGACATTTTTATTTAGAAACTGCGCTTTACAGCACTTTCTAGGAAGCCCTTCTGGCACAAGTGTATGCGTCGGTCCATTGATGGCTACAGTATGACTTCCTGTAACTTCTTTAAAGTTTTATCATTTCATTTCTTAATTACTAGTTTTCACGTATCAGTCTGTTTGGAATGGACACAGCTCTAATGCTGTTTGAAAGTGCAGTAAGTTAATGAGATGCATAACCACGGCTGCCGTTGTCAGCAAAACCCTTGACAGGTCCCTGCTTCCCTCACACATTCAGCAGGGACTCTGGCATACTTGGCAACTCATGCTTTCACAGGGAAGGATGTTAAGATTATTGTGATGCAAGAGAATGCTTTTTTCTTTTTATTCTTCTCTCATATATTATATCCTGACTGCAATTTCCCCTCCCTTCTCTCCTCCCAGTTCTTCTCCCACTCCCTTCCCCCTCTAGATCCACTTCTCTGTTTCCCTTCAGAAAAGGGCAGGCCTCCAAGGGATATCAACCAAATATGGCATATCAAGCTGTAATAAGACTAGGCACATCCCAATCTCAAACAACCACTCAGAGTCTTAATATTAATTACAAAGGCTTAGCTGAAAGCTCAGGCTTGTTACTACCTAACTCTTACATTTAAATGAGCCTATATTTATTATCTATGTTATGCCATGTGGCTCATGTTATATTACCTCATTTTCTACACATCCTGCTTCCTTGGAGTCTAGCTGGCTGGTGTCTCCCTGATTCCACCTTCCCTCATTCCAGCATCCTCAGTTTGATTGTCCAGCCTAACTTCATCCTGCTTTGCTACAGGCCAATCAGCTTCTTTATTAACCAATGAGAGTAATACATATTCACAATGTACAGAAGGGTTATTCCACAGCATTTTCACTATTTTGTCTAATTAAAAAGGTTTAAACCTTAATATAGGAAAAATTGTACATAACAAAATAGTAAGAATTACTGTTGCATATCCAGCCCATTTGTATTTTACAGAATTAGAGAAAATATTCTATTATCTATATTATCTTGGTGAGTCTAAAGTTTTATACCTAATTTGCTTTCTATCATAACTACAGAAAACTATATGTTTAACTATTTAGTCTTTAACTCCATCAAAGACTCCAGAAAGGTGAAATGTTACCTAATGACAAGGACATCAGTCTGTCTGGACAGACACCCAAAGTTCCTCTGTAACACTGAGGCATCCAACTCTGGGCTACAGCCCTAGCATATCTGACAGACTTTAAGCAGGGAAGTATGAGGCTGTTGATGAACTACACTGGAGCCTACCAAAGCCAGGGCAGGGCTGGAGGGCCAACAGAACTCTACTGAGGTTGGTAGTCCACAGCTGCTAAGTTCACAGAGTGAGCATTACATGTTTTCACATCAAAGGGTCTATCAGCAGAGCATCATTACATGTTCAAACCAACAGTATTAGCAGGGCATTATTACATGTTCACACCAATGGTCTATCAGCAGTGAGCATTACATGTTTACACCAACGGTCTATTAGCAGAGCATCATTACATGTTCACACCAAAGGTCTATCAGCGGTGAGCATTACATGTTTACACCAACGGTCTATTAGCTGAGCATCATTACATGTTCACACCAACGGTCTATCAGCAGTGAGCATTACACATGTTCACACCAATGGTCTCTTAGAGCAGCACTTCAATGTTCAGAGTTTTGGCTGTGGAACATTTTGGATTTCAGGCTAGGGATAATCAACTGATATTCCCAAATTAAAACAAAAACAAACCAAAAACCCTCCAAAATAGAAATACCACTGGCCCAAGCTTATCAAAAGGGACACTTATCAGCACATACTAATTAGGTCTATCTCACTCAAAGCGAGCCTCCAGAATTCTCTTGCTATAAATGATACTGTTAAGAAACTCTATACAAGGGAAATAAGACCTATGGATTATACTATCACATCAATGTTCATTTCCTGATTTTTATTTTTATGTGTATTGGTATTTTGCTATAGGTGTTGGGTCTCCTGGAACTGGAATTACAGACAGTTGTGAGCTGCCATATGGGTGATGGGAATTGAACCTGGGTCCTCTGGAAGAGCAGTCAGTGCTCTTAACCACTGAGCCATCTCTCCAGCCCCTTGTTTCCTTATTTTAAGTGTGAAATGATTATATATGAAATGGTATTTGGAAATTTGTAATTAAATTCTATGGAATGTCCTACTTTACTCTCAAACAGTCAAGAAAACAGTGTTACTACACATGTAATCAGGGTGAAGGCATGCAAGATGTGTTTATACTGTTCATGTAACTCTGCACCTAATGTTACATAAAATCAAGTTTAAAACTCAAAACAAAACTCAACTCTTAGTATGTCACCATAAGGGAAATAACTAGCACTCCTGTCTGACTTTTGCTGGGGACACCATGTCCTGTCCTGTCCTCTGTGGGAGTGTGGTGAGACTGCTTATTAATAGTGTGGGGAAGGGAAGGCAAATGAGCTAAGAGGCTCCATTCCACAGCAGTTACAAATCTCAGCTCTTACTGACTACACATGGCAGAAAAATCAAGTGCTGACCTTTAGAATAATCCAGGGGGTAGAGAATAAAACATAGAAAAGCAAAACACAACAACAACAAAAACAACTTCACCCTAAAAATTGGGCTAAGTTATTGGAGAAAAGCAAAACTGGAGCTAGAATAACTACTTTGCTACAGCTGGGGATACTGGACACCAAATCTGGGCTTCATGGCACGTGCTAACTGTACATGGCTGCTTCAGAAAGCAGTTCAAGAGAGACTTACTGTATGACCTGGCGATTTTACTCCCAGGTAGCTGCTCAAGATAAACAAAAACAAATACCCATCTGTAGGTTGGAAGTTGCAACTAAGAATAAGGAAACATGACACTTGTTTTTTTTTTTTTGGGGGGGGGGGGGGGGGGACACAATTCTCTCAAGTGCAAGTGTTGCAATGGTGTATAAAACTCTGCAAATTAAAAAAAAAAAAAAACCATACACACAAATAGAAAGAAGGTTTGAAAGAAATATAAGAACCATATATTCAGTCTTTGCTCCCACAAGCCTACCTTTTCTAACCGCTCTGGACTTGGCATTGGCAATCTCTGTCGCTTGGCCTCCTGCTCTAGAGTTAGAAGCATGTTTCTTTCCTTCAGAAGGACATACCTGTACCAAATACAAAGCCATGATGCTATTCTATAGTGATTAGTGACATCAAAATTAAAAGCCCCTGAAGTCTTGAAGTCCTCTGGAAACCTAACACTGGGCAGCATTCAGAAGAGCCGTGCACCAGGCTGTGCACCTTGTGAGGCGTCGGGGAGGGTTATTAAAGCATCAGCTACAGTCCTCCCCTCCACTGGGAAGGAAGGTGAGTAACATCTACCGAGGAGCTAGTTCACACCCCAGTGTTGAGCATTCCAATCTCCTCACAACCTTTGGAGTAGGCACAACTAAAGCCCCCTCTCTAATGAAGACAATGCAAAGCAAATTCTGGATTCAAATATTAGACCCGTTGTGTAAATTCTACCACTAGCCTGCAATGCCACTGTGACTTACTGGGTAAGAGAGAGGACATGTATTACAAGAGTAAAAGAGTGATGTGAGACACCTATCTCCTCTAGAGCTAAGGTGACCAGGGAAAGTCTCCTAGTGACGGGATTTAAGATGGAAGGAGACAAAGCAGACATTATACATAGAGCACTGACCTGGCTGAGCTAGGGCGAGGGCTTTGTGAATACCATTTCAGAATTAAAGCAATAACTTTGGAGGGTAGTGCAAATGAGACAAGGGAACCAGGCGGGAGCTTTACACTAGGGACTACAGTCCTGGGGGAAGGAGTGGCAGAAGACACTGGTTTTAGCACAGTGAATGCTGAAATAGCCCCAAGTTCACCTTTACTGATAACTCATAATAACAGTGTTTTAACTCAATCTTACTTTTCTATAACAAATAAGCACAGTATGAGTGGTTTTTGTAAACACTGTAATTCTTTAATCTGCCAAGAAAGAGAAATAACCCTTCAAATTGGGACAAAAAGTTAAATGTCTACTGGAGTGCCCAGGCAGATAATAATTATGTGTGAAGTAAGTTAAGTGACAGCAGACAGATGAGGAGCTGGGGAGGCATTGCTGCACATACTGTCAAAGAGTCTAATTAGTCAAGAGAAGCCTAAAGCCTATATACATCAAGTGAAACTTCCCTCAAACAAGTATAATTTAAACAAAACAGCTTTGGGCTAAATATTAGACTGTAACCTTGTCTTAACAGGCTCAGACTTACCAGGGCCATGTGCCCACATTCACAATTAATGTACCCTATGACACAAACCACCGGGACAATAGGCTAAAACCCAGGCCATGAAATGGAATAAAAAGGAAGGCAGAAGTTGTGAATGATCTGGCTCATGGCTAGACTTAGGTTGGAGACATTATCTTCTGAATGTTCTTTTAGAACAGAGAAAAAGAACCCTGCTTGAAATGGAACATTTCTGTTCTTTTGTTTAATATTTCTAATTTTTAAACAGCCTTCCAAACAAGCGGGGTGGGAAAAGAAACAGGAGTGTATTTAGGGCAATGAACTCAGGATCTCAGCAGTGCATGTTGCACCTGCTACAGACTTTTAGAGGGCGAGGGCCTTCTTTCTCAGTTTTGTCTTCTCTGTATGCATGCTGTTTATGTCAAAGACCGCACATTTTGTTAAATGGTTATGTTATTGTCCTGGAAACCTACCTAGCCTCTTGTTCCTAATTAGGGTTCAAGGCTCCTATGAGTTGCAGATAAGAGAGTACATCTGAACAAGCAGGAGGAGAGTCACCTTTTGGGCTGTAAATAAGGACTGTCTACAAGGTCTTTACAGCTTCCTGTCAGCATTTATATTAAGCAATAAATTAACAGGAAAGGGGGAAAAAGGAAGGCAGTGTAAATGTGGCCAACCAGTCCCCATGTCTTCTCTGAGTGTGTTTTTTGACACTACTGGTCTAATGGCATCAGTCTGCCTCTTACAGCACTTGCAGCACAACCTTACATTTCCTACTACCTTTGACCTGTGAAACATCTCTGTCATACTTAGACAAAGCTCATATGATCACCCATGGTTATCAGGAAACAAACCATTTTGCTCAATTCTTTACCACATGGGTATAGTTTTGACCTCACTGTTAAACTGTAACATTTCAATATGCAGAACACCCACCAAAGTTTATGTAAATCTTCATTACTTTTGTTCCTTAGCTGCTGGCAGGTCCATGAAGCTCCTATGAGTAAGAGAAAAGTGTAACATTAAGTGATGCTTCTAAATCTGCCCCTGGCTAATTACCCACTCTAGAAATCTGTTTCTGTGAAACGTGGGACAAAATATATTATATTAGACTAGAATTCAATTAAGTAACATGAAACTATCAGTAACATTTCTCTAACAACATTCAAAGACCGTTAGTATTTGTGTCAAATGCATTTCTATTCCCTAATGTCACTACAATTTATTTTAAATTAGTACTTAACACCCTAAAATAAACCCAAACCTCATGTTAGCTGACACTTTCAAAGCACCCTTCTTTTAAACATCCCACCAACATGCCAAGGAAGTTATGAGAATGACCTTTAAAATGCAAAGGAAATTTTAACAGGAAATCCTAAACTGGTGAATCCTAGGATGATGGAGGGCCCAATTCATTAATTCAAACCATTTTAAAGAACTTACCAGATTTGACCTTTTCTTCCCCCCAGTTCTTTGGGTCATCAAAAAATTCTTCTAGTCCTTTCCTTGACAATGTGGTGTGAAGTAATTTACACTGGAGAAAAGATGTGACATGTGGTGTGTTCTTATGCAACAAACTAAGAGAAAACCTGCAATTGAACACAAGTAAATAATGGTTAACGATTATAACGTTTGGATTTTATAAGTAAGAAATATTTCTTTATTACAATGCTAAAAATTCTACCCAGGATTTTGACCCCAGAGGCAGTAAACTTTTTAAATGTGTTAGAAAGTATCTTTTATTGTACAGACTGCTACCCTATAGTTTCAGAGACAACGTAATGACACAATTATATGTGTATATCTTTTTACTTTATTTACTATTAGTGCCATGGCACACGTAGAGGTCAGAGGAAACGTGGGTTCTCTTCTTCCACCTTGCTGAGGCACCGTCTCTAACTCATACTGCTTTGCTGAATACTCCAGGTTAGCAGGTCTGAAAGCTTCTCTTTTCTCTGCCTCCTATCTGGACATAGGAATGCTGGGATCCCAGATAGGCTTGAATGGCAAGTACGTTTTACCTCCTGAGCCATCTGCTGGCCCCCACAATTATATTTTAGAGTAACATTTTTAGATGCTTCCTCCACTGTAGCAAATAAATCTATGAGTACAACAAAACCATTCTGAAAGTGACTTTGCAACACTGAAAAGGCACAATGTTTTCTCCTTTAAGTCAGTAACTCTGTATCTAGAGATTTTTTTTTAACATCAGAGATGGAAACTCACAGGTTAAGATGTCCACAAAGGGGTTAAATGTGGTATCAAAGCAATGTGAATTACATAAACATACAACTAATAACTGTGCAACTGCATGAGAATCTTATGTAGTAATTTAGAAATTATGCTTCTAAAATTATTTAATGACCTGGTAAAATGGCCTAAAAACAAAATGTGAAGTTTCTCAAGTGCTGTCTTGTGAGCCAAGAGTATATGCTTGACTCCACATCTGTTTTTATGTGTACTGGGGGCTGAGCCCAGGGCCTCAGCATGTTAGGTAAGTGCTCTACCACTGTGCTACATACCTACTCTTGACTTGAATCTAATTATGATCAAATGGAGGCATGTTCTAAACAAACAAACAAAACCCAAAACACTAATTTTACCCAAAATGCCGGTGTAGCAACAAAGAAATAAAGAAACATAATGTATTAATGGCAACCAGGGCAATAAATAATTCTTTATTGGGTCCCAAACAAAAGAATGGAACTGGGGATAAAACAGAAAGAAAAAGAATAAAGAAAGAAATTTTCTTTTTTATTTTTGCAATTTTCATTTTTATTTTTGATTGCAGCTAAATAACGGCAGTGTATTCGCAAAAATAACCACTGGGTCATACTTGATAAGGCAATGTTTGAAATTTGACTTCTGTATAGTACAGAAAAAGGAGCATAAACACAGGAGCTTTGAAAAATGTGACAAGATGCCAATGACTGGTTACTCTGGGTGAAAAGTATATAGTTACTTTTTTACTCTAATAACTTTTCTATTGTTCTGAGGAAATAATGGTAAATGAAGTGTGTTTACCTGCAAAATTAAAGGACAAATGGCAATTAATCCACAACTGCCTTTACCATCTTCAAAAACCTGGCCTCTCTTCTGAGTGATAGGTATTTATTTTGTTAAAAAGAACACACTAAAATTCTCTCACTAAAAATTTTAATGCTTATGTATATGAACGTTTTCTTTGCATATGTGTGTACCACGAGTGCGTGGCTGAAGTCTTCAGATGTCTGAAGGAAGGCCTCGGATCCCCAGTTAAAGATGTTGGTGAGGAACCTAACTTCGGTCCTCTTTAAGTGCAAGTTCTCTTAACCACTGAGCCCCAAATTACTATCTCTCCAGCCCCAAATTATTTCATTTTTAAGGAAAATAAAGATGACGAAGACGAAGTCATTCAAATTTTCCACCTTGATCAAGTAACAGCTCTGCAAAATTTTTAAAAAGCTAATTTCCGAAGTTAGTGTTAATAACACAGAGCATAACAGATGCACAGAAGCTGTGTGTTCAACCAAACATGGGTTGCTTCCTTCAATTATAAAACTCGGCTCCTGTAGGCAAATGTCAAGGAGGAGTAAGTTGACTCTTTCTCACACTTGCAGAAACCCCTGTTAACTCAGCTACTCTCATCACTCAGTATCTGCCAGACAACAATTTGGGTCAAACCCGACGATACCATTCCCTTTCTGTCTCTCACCTGGCAAAGCCTTCCGTTCCCAGCTCGACTCCTCGGAAGCGTCTCTCCCGACCCGCCCAGCCTCAGCACAGAGCGCGTCCGGGTAAACCCGGAGCATCTGAAACTCCTGGGCCTCCAGACCCACCGCCAGCCGGCAGCACCAGAACGCTGGCCCAGGAACGGGACGCGCCAGGGTGGGCGACTCCAAGGTCACGCCCTCTGCCCCCGAGGGGGCCTCCGTCCCAGGGCAATGCTCTGTGCAACAGGCACCCAAAGGCGGGGCCAGTCATCCCTTCTTTCAGCACTTACCCGGAACGCGCGGGGGCCTGGGGACTTACTAGGGAACCGACAGCCTTCAGGAACGCGGAGACTCTCCTGCAGGCACCCACTACACTGGCCGCAGCCATGTTTCTAAAGCAGACCCACTGTGCCGGGGGCCCACAGTGTCACTTCCGGTGTTGCGTGCCGACTAGTGAAGCAAGCAAGAACGGGCTTTGCCCTTATTAAACATGGCCGCTCTCACTGCTTTCACCCCCCTCCACCCACCCTTAATCCATCATGGAGCCTCTAGCGGCTCTCTTCGCACTCCCCACCTACGATGTCGTCACTTCTGTCCGCGAGCTCCTACATTTGAAGCGAACAGGAACCCGCCGCTGCCCTTACTCAACATGGCCACCTCTAGCTTTCGCCGTCACAGGTAGATTGTCCCTCCCGGCTCCCGTTGCTCACTACACTTCCTCCCCTGCCAGGAGAAGCCATGGCGGCTATGAGCCTGCTGCAGCGGGCTTCGGTCTCCGCGCTGACAGTGCTGTCTGGCCGCGGTGCTGGCTCTAGACTCGGAGCGGGAAGTTTCCTCACGCGGACCTTTCCGAAGGCTGTCGGTGGGTGCAGGCCTTGGAGACGCGGGCGAGGGGTGGGAGGGCTGTTCCCAGGTGACCTTGGGGGCCGCTGAGGGAGGGAGCAGGGACAAAGTTGGCCTGGGGTTCCTAGAGGACGCGCGGCGCTGGCTGTGTGAGGAGCTGCTGCAGAAATCGACGGCCCTGTTTTAGCGTTTGTGAAGCACGCTGTCGCTCACTGTGCCTGGTGCTGCTTCTCACTTGCTGCCGGCTAGACTGGCCTGGAGCTGCGGCCCGCGTCTCCAAGGGCAACACATTGTTATTGAGACAAGGTCTGGTCAAGTGCTACCCTGGAGGTCCGAACTTCCCACCCTCCGGCCCCAGTCTGGATAGGTGGCACTGCAGCCGCTTCTAACCCGCAGATAGGAAGTTGCTGAGAAGCCCACCGAAGTGATGTTCATAGGCACGAGTGGAAAAAGGCTCCTGGTGACAGCCCCATTAGGCACAGTAGTAACTGCCCGTGCAGCTCACGACGTTTTAGAAGTCCACGAAAATGTTTGTTTTTTGAAAAAATACTGTAGTGTTAATGAGTGTGTGATGATGAGTTCAGCCCAAATTGTATCAGTTGTATGTTAATGCAGTTGTAACTTTACTATCTTGCAGTGGTTCTCAACCTGTGGGTGGGTCACGACCCCAGGTTTCACAGGGGTCTCCTAAGACCATCGGAAAAAACCAGATGTTTACATTATGATTTATAACTAGCAAAATTACAATTATGGAATAGCAACAAAAATAATTTTATGATTGGGGTCGTCATAACATGAGGAATTGCATTAGAATGTCTCAGCAATTGGAAAGTTGAGGACCACTTCTATCTTAGAAAGGAGCCTAAGAGGACTAAAGAGTTCAGGTCTGAGGACAGTCATAGTGAGGGCCTAGGAACCTGACCCGGTAAACATAGCTTTAGAATTCCATTTATTTTCTCTCTCCAGAGGCTCTGGAAAGTAAATGCAATGTTATTCCCTCACTTTTACAAAAGTGAAAACCGACGTAATTAATATTAAAAATAATGCACCACTCTATTACATTAGCAATAATGGTGACCAATGTTTACTGAGCATCTGTCTGTTAAGAGCCAGGCACCATTTTAAGTGTTAAATCAGTTAATCCTCTTGGTCAGAGATACAGTTTATTTTCCTTGTGCAGTACAAAGAAATGAAAATTTTACCCTAAAACCAAAAATATCCACTCTCTAAATATCCAATATGCAAGGGGACCTTCTGGAATATTATCGAAAAGATGGGTGCTTTTAAATTTTCCAGCAGGAATTTAAACTTCATGCAAACTTAGTAAAATCTTTGTGCAAACCATTTTTCCCTCTTTCTGTACTATTCCCCACTCCTGCAATTTTGAGAGGATCCTAGGGAGTCAATGTCCTTTCTAATGAAAGCATGGGATGTCTACTAGCCGCTTGTTCCGGATAGTGATTGTTTCTCTGTATCACCGCTTTCATAGGCATACCATGTCTCCTGAAAGTTTTCATCTCTTCCACCATTTCCTTGATTATCCTAGAAAGATTGTTAAGCCCTGCCCCCATCTTGTTTTTTTTTTTTTTTCCTGTCACTGGACTGCCTAGATTCAATCCTGCTTGCAGAATTTAGAAGCTCTGTGACCTTGAGTCAACATCTCTTGGAAGCTAAAGTGGAAGGCACTTACTTGGTCCTGCTCTTCATTTCCTCATCTAGAAGATGATCATTGTTGACATCACAGAGCTGTGAAGTGTTGAGTAGGAAACGTTTCTAGCACCATGCACCTGTATCCATGCATTTTGCACTCATACACTATGCATCTGTACCCAGGCATTAGTCTTTCCAAAACAAATTATAAAATACACACAGCATTTATTTATTTGTTTCTTTGGTACTGCTGATGAAATACAAGCCTTTGCATATGCTCGTCAGCTGAGTTCTTTCCCGTGGGTTGCATCCCTAAGCCCTCTTTTTCCTTTCTCTATATGAAAATTTGAGACAGAGCCTGGCTAAGTTGCCCAGGCTGGTCTTGAATACACTCTGCATTACAAGCTGGCTTTGAATTGTAGGCAGACTTTTCTTTCCCAGCTGACAGTTTCCAAATAACTGACACAGAGACTTATTATTATGAAAGCTTGGCTTTACACTTGTTATTAGCTAGCTCTTATAACTTAAATTAACCTGTTTCTATTTATTTGCTTGCTGCCACATGACTCATGGATCCTTACCTCATTTTGTACATGTCCTGCTTCCTCTGTGTCTGGCAACTCTCAGACTCTGTACTTTCTCCCAGTGTCCTCCTAGTCTTACTCTCCTGCCCCATCTCTTCCTGCTCAGCTATTGGCCAACCAGCTCTTTATTAGCCAATGAGAATAATATTTTTATAGTGTACAAAGATTGTTCCACAGCACTGAATCTGTCATGTTCTTGCCCCCAATCTTCCAAGTAGCTGGATTGAGCATCAGAGAGGTGCAATTCCAATCTAAGATCTTCTTGTCATTGAAGTTGTGCCCTTGAAGGGAATATTTGGGGCACCAGCTCCTCCTCTTCCTCTCTCTGCTTCCTGGCCTCTAGAAGATAAGTAGTTTGTTATACTACATACTCCCCATCATACTTTGCCACAGGCTCATACAGCTTATGAATGGAAAACACTGAACTCCTTTCCATTCTAGAGCTAATGTGTCATAGATATATGAACACAAAGTACTGTGAACTCAGACAAGGAATGTCTGTAAAATGAATATAAGTATCATTTTAACAAGGGAAACTGGCAGAAGTAGGTGGGTTTTTTGGTGTCTGGATGTGGGGCTTTTGGAAGACCTAGGTGTTAAGAGAGTTGGGCCAAAGGTGGTCAGCACCTGATTGGGGTGGAGGAGGAGGACCTGGACACAAAACCTAAGTGTCTGTATATAGAGAGGTCAGATGACAACTTGTGGGAAGCAGTTCTCCTTCTACTGTGTGGGAACCTGGAGGCAGAAGCTGATATAGAAGCCATAGAGGGGTGCTGCTTACTGGCTTGCTCAGCCTGCTTTCTTAGGGAGCCTAGGAGCACCAGTCCAGGGATAGCACCACCCACAATGGGCTGGGCATAGCTAGATCTTAGTGAGGCATTTCCTCAATTGAGGTTCCCTCCTTTTCATATAACTTTAGCTTGTATTGAGTTGACATAAAACTAACCAGCACAATTGACCCTTTGCCAACTTAACATGCAAACACATCTCTGTTAAGCCATAGCCTTTCCATTCTTGTTTTTCCCCAAGATCATACTTTAATATCAACATTAAATTGTAAACATTCCAACTTTTTATACTTTTTTATTTAAATTTAAAACAAGCTTGTTTTACATGTTAATCCCAATTCCCTCACCCTCCCATCTTCCCCTGTCCCCCCGCCCCCCCACCAGCCCCCATCCCATCCGCTTTCTGCTCCCCAGGGAGGGTATCTTCAAAGTCATATCATTTGGAGCAGGGCCTAGACCCTCCCCCGTGTGTTTAGGCTGAGGGAGTATCCCTCTATGTGGAATGAGCTCTCAAAGTCCATTCATATACTAGGGATAAATACTGATCCACTACCAGAGGCCCCATAGACTTCTCAGTACTCCCAACTATAACCACATTCAGGGGGCTGGGTCAGTCCTATGCTGGTTTCCCACCTATCAGTCTGGGGGAGCTCCCCCTTGTTCAGATCAGCTGTCTCTCTGGGTTTCTCCAGCCTGGTCTTGACCCCTTTGCTCATCACTCCTCCCTCTCTGCAACTGGATTCCAGGAGTTTAGCACAGTGTTTAGCTGTAGGTGTCTTCTTCTGCTTCCATCAACTACTAGATGAGGGCTCTGGTATAGCATATAAGGTAGTTATCGATCTCATTATCAGGGAAGGACATTTAAGGTAGCCTCTCCACTATTGCTCAGATTAGTTAGTTGGGGTCATCTTTGTAAATCTCTGGACATTTCCCTAGTGCCAGATTTCCAAATTTTAAAGGTCACACAATCTTTAAAAATTCAAACACTTATAAATTCAGTCTTTTAAAAATAGCCAGTCTCTTTTAAAATCCAAAGTTGTTTAAAATTCAAAATCGATCAATGTGGCTTCCTGTGAAATAAAAAATAAGGTACCTTCTTACTTCAGCAGGGAAGAATCAGGGTACAGTCACAATCTAACAAAGCAAAACTGAACTCCAATTGTATAAGTAACTTAATGTCCAATGTTTGGGACTTATAGTCTGCTGGGTTCCTGCAAAGGGCTTGGGTCTGTCTCTTCTCTGGCTCTGCCCTTTGCAGTGTACATAGCTTATATTCTAGGCTCCCACTGGCTCCATTCTGCCATTGTGGCTATTCTTGGTGTTCATCCTGTACTAGCATCTCTAAAATGCTGGGGTCACTTACGTGCCTGGGCTGCACTTTCACCAGTAGCTTCTGGTGGGCTCTTCAGCAATTGCAGCCTTACCACACAGTACCAGGCCTCAGCTGCTCTCCATGCCCCCTTCATGCCTTCTAAACCAGTTATACCTGGGTGACCCATACACCCAGCAAGAGGTACAACTTTGGTTGCTCTGGAACACAG